TTAAAATAATGGATTCGACATAGATATAAAACTAACCTAAACGAAGTAGATTTCCTAGATGTGACCTTCAACCTAAGAGAAGGCACATATAAACCATACAGAAAACCTAACGATAAGCCACTCTACATACACACATCTTCCAACCATCCGCCTTCTATAATCAAACAGATACCAAAATCGATTAACCGCAGGCTCTCCGACAATTCCTCCAATGAATCCCTATTTAACAAAGCTAAAAAAAAGACTATGAAACGGCCCTAAAAGATAGCGGATTCCCAGCAATACTCACATACTCACCACAGAATACAAAAAAGACCAACAGGAGAAGAAATATCATATGGTTCAACCCATCGTACAGCAAGAACGTAAAAACAAACGTAGGAAAAATATTCTTCAAACTCTTACAAAACACTTCCCAGAATCAAGCACCTTACACAAGATATTCAACAAAAATACAGTAAAAAATCAGCTACAGCTGCACCGAGAGCATGGCACAAATAATAAAAAAGCACAATAGGAAAATTATCAACAAACCACACGAACAAATTAAACCCACGTGCAACTGAAGAATAAAGAACGAATGTCCCTTAAACGGAAATTGTCTACAAAACAACGTAATATACCAAGCCACGATAAAATCACCAGATAACGAAGAAAAAGTATACATAGGAGTAACTGAAGGACCCTGGAAGCAAAGAAATTATACACACAAAACATCGTTCACAAATAGTAAATATGCGAACAGTACTATGCTTTCTAAGTATATCTGGGAAATAAAAAAAAAAAACGCACATCACACCAAAAATATCTTGGAAGATAAGGAAAAAGTCATCAGCCTACAACAACCAATCAAAAACTTGCAAACTTTGCTTGGAGGAAAAAAATAGCTATCATTACTTTCCCCGACCAAAATAAATTATTAAATAAAAGATCCGAGCTCATCTCAAAATGCAGGCATGAAAATAAATTTTTACTACGTAACCTAAAAAATGAAAAACGGAAAAAATAAAATAAAAACAAATACAATATTAATAAAAAAAAAAAAAATAAATAAATAAAATAAATAAATAAGTACTATGTTGCTTAAAAACCGAAAACCAAAAAAAGAGAAAATATAAAAATAAATTGACCTAAATTCATCCAAGTAAATAAATAGGCAAACCAATCCCAAATTAAAAAACTGTTCCCGCCAAAAAAAATAATAGTTAGAATGAACTACAACAACCAACCCCAAAATTGAACAAATAGCTTTAATTAAATTCTCAAACCAAAACAAAACTGTTAAATACGTGATATAAACAAATTTTTTACTACGTTAATAAATAAATAAATAAAATAAAAACAAAAAAAAAATAATAAATAAAATAAAATAAAATAAAATAAAATAAAATAAAATAAAAAAAATAAATAAAACGAGCAATATAACTTGACCCAAATAAATGAAGAAAAGCGACTTCCGGTAAAATAACCGCCATAATAGAATACCCACTATGCACCACTAACCCGTATATATATAAATAGCCGAGAAAAATAACAGCACACGTGGCCTGACGATTGCATATAGCATGAAACAGACTGTCGCCTCTAAGTGTTGACTTCTATGTTCACTTTTATATATATATATATATATATATATATATATATATATATCTCTAAAAGTAATTTTTTTTTTAATTTTTTTTAAGTTTTATGGATACAAATTATTTTAGTAAATGCTCTGTTTTAATTAAACAGTATTAATTACATTTACCGGCTTGAATGTTCGAGAAACTTCATAGAAAATATGCGTTCTCTGAACTTCTCTTAAATCAAACCTTTAACCCATATGGGAACCGTCATTTGGTCTGAGATGTTTTTAACCACACAACCACTTTTCAGTTGCAAAGTTCAAATTACTGCTTATAAACATACATCTTGACAAACTTTCTCAATATATCATTTCTGCTCCCTAACGTAATATGAACAATAACAACACAATATATGAAATGGATTAAATCAGACAAATATTTTAATATATTTTATGTTTATACGTTATTTTTATTCAGTTGAGCCAGAGATTGGAAGGCGGTTTCTAATGGATGAGAAGTGAAAGTCTGTATTGATAGGATCATATATTCCTGTGAGACCCTCATAAGAGCTATACAGTGTTCTGTCTGATAGGCGTGCGATTTCCTGTAGATATTTGATAACATATATGCCATCACTGTACCTCTTACCAGTACGAAAACTAACTTTGGTTTTAAGAAGTTGTCCTTCATAGACCGTTAAAAATCTAGTTAGTAAAATGTTCATTAGTACATCCATAATAATGGATCGAATTGAGATACCCATGTATGTGGGAATGCGCCCAGGAGCACTTTTTTGTTTCCACAGTGCATCAATACTCTTTATACTCTACTTCTTTAGGATTCATTTCTGATTCCAGATTCTTTCTTAAAGTTGAGATACGTGATTTCAAAAGTTCAGCTTCGTTCTCAAGAGATGCTTTATTATTCTCTAGCTCTTTCTTAACTTTCTTGACTTGTTCATCACTAGTTTCGTGATTTTTACGTTTGGAGACAGACATTGTAATGATAGGATATAAATATATTGGTATATATTCTTTTTATGTTGCTATCTTCAACGTCGTCGCAAAATATGACTCAAGTGTATTTTCAGACAGGGATATTTATTCTGTTATTCTTTTGCCTGTTTCATGTTATAGTGACTTTTCGTTTTTCGCGGCATTTGCAACACATTGCCTAGATTGGCTTCATTAATTCCGTTTACAATTTTGGGGAGATATTCGGTTAGTCATAGCATTCACTATTTTCTTTTTCTTTTATCTGTTATTTGGTATTCTTCCATCGATTTGTCATCCTCTTCTGTTTGTTTTATTCTTGTAAACAATCTTTTCAATTCAGGTTTGTCGTCCCACGAGAGTAACTTTTTTCCGTCTCAGTATTCCGTGAATGCACTCACGTGCATCTTCTAACGAATATAAGATTACATTATTTAATTGATCCATGTTAGTTTTGTCATGATATTGGGACATCACTTTGGACACAAGTACAGCACAAAATTCTAATCTTACGTAATCATTTGCATGTTATACCTAGGTGTCTTTTGAGCTGTTTTCTTGACTGCTGTTGACAGTCTTATTACAATAAACATATGCTCAGATTCAATGTAAGTTCAGACCAAATGATTTCAATTTGCTCCGTATTCTATTTGAAAGGATGAAGTTTGTCTCAGTTTTTTCCAACGAATCCTTCTACTACATTGTGGAAAAAAACGCCTGGAGCTTGATTCATTGACTACTGTAATCTTAAAATCTTCATGTCAAGGCTCAATTGCTATCTAATTTCCTTATTCTAATAATCGCAATCCCACTTGCTTCGTTTACGAACTTATCACACATCAAATTCAGAAACCTACTAATATGAATCACGCTTGCATTGGGTGAAATTTAGTATAAAACCACTGCCTGAGCAGAATTACCAGATGGGTGGAAAATTATCAAATTCGGTTGCATTTGACAGCTAAGCACAAGAAAATTTAGAATGAACTCTTTTATCATGAGTATAATATTAAAAAAAAAAACAAATGTTACAGAAAGCAAAATAAAAAAAAAATAACATTGGGCTTTCAAATATCAAAGATATTAAGAACCCTATACTCGGGAAAATTTGAAATGATTTTATCTTTTAGCATGAACAGCTTTATAGGGAGGAAGCAGAAAGTGATTTTCTACGCGGTAAAATGCAAGCCAATTTGAGCTTGAGCATATTTTAAAAAAGATTAAATTGATATCATCAATATCCAATAATGCAGAACCAATCAGAGACAAACACAAATCAAATTCTGATTCCCATTGCAAATACCTCCGAATTTCCACTCAATTCTTACCTGAAAATATCATTCTTAGGAAGTAATATTAAAAAAAACTTTAATCCTTAATGAAACAATAAAACCAGGCATAGCAGATCATTTGTAAAATGAGAGCGTTATAGTGAGAAAGACAGATAAATGGAAGAAGGCTGCGTGAGCCATACGAAAGAGAATTTTCCGTACAAATTAGTTTATAATAAAATAAGGAGCATTACCTGTATTGAACAAATTTAGAATAACAACCACGGAAGAATAGTCAACTTTGATCTTCAAACATATTTCATACAATGTGATATAATGCAATATGCTTACATCTATGTTCCCCCTCACTGAAATATGATTGGCTGGTGTCCGTCATAAATACCGACGGACGTGTAGGAGAGTCAAGAGCATTAATCTGAGAGCTAAGTCTATAACGACGCCCATTGGACTACGCCATTGATCTACACTTTATACCTGCGACTACGACGCGTACCAGTCGATTACTGCTACCGTATTCTACTTGGTTATAGTAGCCAAAATCACTTAGCTACTTCGTTCAAATATATCCCTTTTCCGGGTCATATCACAATGCCAATCGAAATCTAGTGTTTCCTGAATTACTAAGCTTTTATTGGCCTTACAGTGATGCTTAAAAATTTGTGAAACCCTAAACTTCCATGTTCATGTGAAAATTTTAAAGTAGGCCTATTAGTGTTCATCAACAACTTGTAAAGTAAGTTTTACAAATACACAAGCAAAAAAGTATGTAATTGAATTACTTGTACCAAAAAATATTATTTATTTTCTCAAAACTAAAAATCTTCCAAGGAAAGAGAACAAGACAAATATTTAAGCTTGCAATGAATCTTTATTCAACGCAATTGATTGATTCATTTGTCGTCTACAATTTATAATCTCTTAGCTGGCCATTTAAAGTCATACAAATAGACCGTAGAAACTCTTTTGAAGTTAATTTTGTTATAGATGTTTTACTAATTAATCTAAAGATGGGGGATAAGGGGTTTATACATTCCTTTTCCATGCGTATTTGCACTTAAGTATATATAATTAACCCAAAAGAAATTGCAACGTAACTTTTTCATTAACAATTCCGAGATTATATCTATTACACCACCCATACATCTAAGCTTGCAATATCTGGTATTTCCAAATAGCCACACATCTAGTACTGAACAGGCTCGACGTTGCTTAACTTTGCTGATTCGATGGGAACTGGGGTTTCAACATGATATGGACGTAAGGCTCAAAACAATTCAACCAATGCACATATGGGAGAATCAACCATGAACTTTATTAAAGTAGTTGTTGGCGGCAGACAGATATAGTTGCCTTCACCATACCCGTGAAAAATGGGATCCCCTCTATGTTAGTGAAGTAAGTAGGCAATACATTCAGTTCAAATATAGTTAGATGTTACTTAATTTAAGTTGACCAATCAAATAAAACTTCCTAAGTAATTTGGTTGGACAACATAGATTAAAAGACTGTGGAAACCAATCAAGCTTCTGTAACACAAATCATTTACAAATGTAGGATATTCAACCCGACACGAGCCCAGCTCTGACTCTTAGTGGACGCCCATCAACTCAGGTAAACAACAACCCACACATCAATTCGAGGCAGTTACAAACCTCTTTGGCAGTATCTGGATATAAAGAATTTCATTAAGACGGATCATATATAAGGATGGTTCATTAAGACGGATCAAAGTCAGCAGTAAATAAATCAGTTTTAATGGTGGAAATTTATTTATTTCTCTATTGGACATGTTATTTAAGTCTTGGCAATTATGGGTGAAAAATAATATCACTCAAGTCCTCGCCAAATCTGAAAAAAAAAGAGAAAATCATTAGACGCTTAAACTTAATTCACATTAAAATCGGTTCAAGTTACTGGAACATACTTTATGTACATGTATCTACAATGAGGCGAAAATTGAATTTAAATGTCATTTATTAGAAAGTTGCGAGAAGAAAACCTCTGCTCTTAATGAAGAACAACGCTATTTAAACTTTATCAAAGGACACGTGGACAAACCAGAGGCCTTTTCTTTTAAAAGATAGGTCAAAGAAAAATTGTTTGATCACTGTCAAGACTGACATTATTAGAGAATGCCAACAATGCCTACCAAGCAAAATATCTCATTCCAACAGTGTTGGAAATATTAAGATCTGGGTCTGTTTTCTGCATCTGTAATTCATGTTTCCTTGGATAATATGGAGTCATCCGACTCCTTATTATCCAAGGAAACATGAATTCAAAACTATCAAGGAATAACTTAATAGGAAGAACATTTATATTCTGAATTGAAATAATAAAATTCTGAAGAGAAATGTTTCTATTAGGCCTAAGGCTGACGACTCATGCCAGATGCCTCACCGATGTCTATCAACTGGCTGGATGTCAGTATTTAGGGAAGAAGTTTAGCTGAATTTATGGTTGAAAACGGGGGGCGGTGCCACATAGTACAATCTAAAAGGGTTAACATATCAAAGTCTCTGTTTTGGTGAAATAAATCTCTTTTTTAAATAAATAATTAAAATATATTCTTTTTTGTTTGTGTCCATGATTTATAAAGACTATTAAAAAGAAATAGTGTTTGCTGCTTATTTAATAGGCTTTTCTTCTTTTTTTTTTGTCATAATAATCATAGACATGCCTGGAGGGTCAGAAACATTCAAGTGACATCTGTAGCTTGTTGAAGAACTAAGAAATGTATTAAGAAACAAAAGAAAAGCGTACTGAAGTGCTATGTAATATAACTCCACCCGTGAATGCACTTCAGCTATCTTAAAGATGAAGAAGAGACTTGAACCAACAGAAATGTAGTTCTACAGAAGGATTCTGGGCCGAACAGAAAAACGACGAAGTTTTAATTAAAATTGAAATTAAAAAAGACACTTATGTTTACGATAAGAAAAAAAAACAATTAAAAATTCCAGGACAGATTATGAGGGGAGAAGTTATTCATATGACATAATGAAGGCAAAGACAGAGTAAAGCAGCGAATAACCTTCATATTGAGCTTAGGTAAATTGATAGAACAGGGATTAGGAGAGATATCAAGAAGATAAACGTTACTAAGAGTTAAAAAGGACAGGATCTTGTGGCAGGTAACAAGGGCCAGGCCTTGAAGAGAGATATCACAGTAAAAAGGTATTCGATATTGCGGGCATGACGGGAAGACTTATAATGATTTTTCCAACCCCAAAAGTAGTATGACTAATTTGGATAGTCTACTTTGTCTTATAGAGTGGCACTTGGGATAGTCTTGAAGAAAAGTGCCAATTTCATTCGAAATTCGAGTAATATATAAAATTCGCCAGATGAAGGCATTGCTAAGTTTAGAAAATGCATTTCAATAGAAGATTCAGCTAACCACAGTAAGAATATTGCAGACATTTGCCTGAATTAGTGCTTACTGGAAATTGCTTACTGAAAATAATAGCATAATAACATTTTATCCAACAATTATAATAATTTCTTATCAGGCAGTTGTGGGCCATGCGTGATACACGCTTAGGCGATCACGTATCTTTCGATACATGACTGACGAGGCAGATTTTTCCGCAATATGTTGCCATTTCTTTCTGCACTAGACCAGTTGCCATCCTAGGCTATAGAACCCGGTCTGGTTGGTGGTGGTGGTGGGTAGAAGAAGAGGATTCAAAATTTTTCGAAGAGTATTAGCATGTGTTGTGGAGTGATTTCGTAGTAGAGGCTTGTATTTTGTACTAAGTCGGTCCTAAAATAGGTTCGACGTACAAAACGTTAGGAACTTGATATAATAGGTATAACACAGAGTAATCTAGTTGTGGTCGCTGATACTTTAGTATTCGACTAACTGTCGTCCATCATCGAGTGACTGCCTCGTTACTCTTACTACTCCTACTTCTTATAGGTGGGAGAGTCTCTTAACTTTAGAATAGCTGTGTTCCCCTATAACAGCACGTCAGTGAATGTAATGGATTCGACTGGAATTCGAACCCGGCTCTCCGATTCCTCAATCTGAGCCGCTATCACTTCACCATGCCTCCTAATTTCTTATACTATCATGATTATTATGATTATTAGTATTATTCTAAATCCCAATTTCAGTAAGTTTTGTCTTTCTGACACCTCCAGCAGACCACGTTCTGTCATCCGCTTGCTTAAGCCTGCCAGGAATGTCATGTGTTGTTTTCCATTGTCTCTCGTTCCTTCTAGTCGACCTGTGAGTATTTGATTTTCCAGACCCTCCATTCTCATTTGGTGCCCCAGAAACTTCAGCTGCTTCTTCCTTATGTTAATATAAGTCTCCTCCTTGTTTGCATCCTTCGGTAGAATCACACCTCCGTCGCTACGAGTCTCTTCTTCATCTTTGAGGAGATCGTCCAACATTCGCTGCCGTGAAGGAGGACAGATGTCACGTAACTCCTGTTTCACAATACACTGCCCAGCTTTTGGAATGCGTCCTTGACCATACCAATACGTCTACATATCTCAGTTTCGCATTTTCTGTCAAAACACTACTATACTACAGTTCGCCAAATAAAAACCCCAAAAGTAGAGTGTTTCTAAATGAGATGCGGGATACAAATGACAGAGGTTGTCTTATACAGTGAATGTTATGAATGTAAGGCGGCAAAATAACTACTGATCTTTGGATACATGTGTTGAAATTGGCATGTTCAGGGAAACAGCGACTCAAGACTGTTCCATAAAGTGGCGTATTGGCTTATGAAAAAATCTCTTTTTTGAGCGAAGAATTATTCTGCAGTCTGCAATCGCTTTCCCATAAAGGCAACGTTGTATGACTTTTGCTGCTCTATTCGGATTCCCACTTTTAAATGTTTAGATGAGATTCTACGAATTCATTCCTTTTCCAAGGAATCGAACCACGCTCATTTTTTCTGTGTTCCAAAGATAAGAAGAATGTTCCACAAGGGCATCTCTTCCACAGAAATGCCAGTCTGTATAATAGAAACTTTTATGAATGCTTTGCAGAATACTTCAAACTTAACCTCCTGAAAGTAACGATAAATCAATCCTCCTTATTCGCATGCTTTTCTGTTCCTTCTGTCTTTCATACTTGTATACATGCCATGCAGCATTAAACTTTACTTACGACTACATCACGTTGAAAGACTGGTTCCCGAAGGATCAGCGAAGTTAAGTAACGCCGAGCTTAGTCACTAGATGGGTGACCGCTTTGTAATACCAAGTTCTGTAAGCTAACAAATAATGGTTGGTAATTGTTAATCGGAGATTCCAGTTTGTTTTAATTTTATTCAGCTACACCTACATATTTTTCCTTGGGAAAGGCACAGATCCACCGCTTTCCCCCTAGCTATGGGTTAATTAGTAAGACTTGTATCACTATATTATTATTATTCTAAAAATCTAAAAATATTTTCTGGTTTTAAATATCTTGCAATGGGTTGATAACCGTTAGAATCAATGAATCATTTTAACTTTCACCCTTTACGTAGAGCGGATTACGGGCTTTGTTGGTGGTGAAATTTTGCATAAAAATAGAACAGCCTAGTCTAAATTCATTCGTTGGTGTGTTTCTAAAAACGATGAATTATTCATTTCCTTGGTAAAAAAAAACATTTGGTTTGCTCTGAAAATATTTGTTCGCATCGTCGAACATAAATAGTTAATATCCTACCATTAGGGACATAATGTCGAACTTGTTTGGCTTGTCTTTTTTGAACCAGTTAGCTGGCTTCAGCTATAATGGAGTTTGCTTTCTGGTGTATTTCCAAAACAAAAACAGCATCGACTATAATTTGGATTACATTTTATCCTTTGTTATTTTTACTCATATTTATTTTTGCAGCTACATTTTCGTTCTACATCTCACTGAGTTGATATGTGTTTTTTCACTTTTTCCAAATATTAAAGAAACAATCAACCGTTACGTTAAAAGAAAGTGAATCTTATGATGTGAAACTACCTGTCAGCTGTATTTATCAAATGTGTTTGAAGCACATCATTAGATTTTTGACTTAGCAACGTGCGCTAATTGCAAACTGTATTAGCACTTCTTTTGATATTGCAGCCATATATATGAGATATACTGACAACAGTTAATAGAAGCAGCAAATAGCCTTACACAAATGGACAAAGAGTTTCACAGGATATGGCCTATACCTAGTAGAAATATTTTGGAATTTCCTGGTGAGATGATGCACACGGTATTTTGTTGATTATTATTATTATTATTATTATTATTATTATTATTTCCTTGCATA